TGCAGAACCGAGAGCAGCCCAAGCTAAATAAAGCTGCTGGGTTGGAGTTATTTGGTTTAAAAAAAAAAAAATGGTCACCAGGCTAGGCCCGCTGCAGACTCATGGCCTGGTGTGATTCTCTTTGTTTTAGGGAACGTGAGAAGAGAAGGCATTTCATTTACCCTCCTAGCAATTTCAATTGGATAATCTGGTGGTGAGGCTTCCAGAATCACTGGTATACTTCTGAGCCATGAGGGATTGGCTCTATCTACCTACCGCTTGGGATGAGTTCCTGAAAAATCCAGAAAGGGAGAAGCAAGTGCTTGTCTCCTTGTGGGCTTTAAGAATGTCTCATTGCGAAATGAATATTCACTTCTGCTTTTCAGTTGAGATTGTTAAAAAAAAAAAAGAAAGAAAAGGCCACGAAGAGGTGCCAATACATACAACTGGTGGGGGTGGGGGGGGGGCTGCAACTCAGGTGCGTTCCAGATGGTGGGGGAACCTGGCTAATGGAATTTTGCCGGGGGGGACATCCATAGGGCCGGTGAGCCACAGTACAACCCACTCTGGAATCACAAGGGGTTTCTCCAGCAGAGCATTGGCGGTCCTAACGAAGCCCCCTCATGAGAAAGGCATTCCTGGTGAGGAGCCCCTCCCTCCAAATAAAATAAAATCGAAGGCGAGAGCCATGGTTTATGGTGAACTTACCAGCGGGGCAGAGTCCAGTAGAGATCGTATCCAAAACACATAATTGTAGGCGGCTGGGAGACCTGAATGTGTAACTCCTTGGCACCGTCTGAGGAACCAGTTTGGAGATGTTGGCCAACCAGCCACAGAGGTGAGGGGAGAGGGCTGCTCAGGGATCTCATCAGGAATCTGAGACCTTTGGTAGGGTTTGTTGCAGTTAGCAACGAGCCCATGGCCAGCGGTGGACACTGGAGAGACTCACTTCTGGATTTCTCTGAAGGGGGAAGCAAGTCCTATGGGCTGAGGGGAATGGAAACCATCTCTGGTTTCTACAAAGCAACCGGTATTTTCTTTTCTTTTTTTCTTTTTTTTAAAGTCTTTTTTGTTTTTTTTTTAAAGATTTTATTTATTTATTTGAGAGAGAGAATGAGAGAGAGCACATGAGAGTGGGGAGGGTCAGAGGGAGAAGCAGACTCCCCGCCGAGCAGGGAGCCCAATGCGGGACTCGATCCCGGGACTCCAGGATCATGACCTGAGCCGAAGGCAGTCGCTTAACCAACTGAGCCACCCAGGCGCCCCGGTATTTTATTTTCGCCTCTCTTGGAACCATATAGACCCAGTCATGCAAAACGGCCCAAATGGAGAGTCTCCCCTTGTTTCCCTGGGTTCCGTAAGTGTTTCCAGGTGGAAACACTAGGCTTAAAAAAAAAAAAAAAAAAAAGTTTCCCTGTCTGTCGGTTGGTGAAGTTTGGAAACAGTGGCTTGTGGGGTGCTCTTGTCACCCACGTGTGCCGTGGCATCGGGTACCACTTGCTGGGGACCATGCGGAGCCAGGTTCTACCTTCTCCTTCTGCGTTGTTTTTCATCCCCTGGAATTGAGCATCAGCAACAGGGAGTAAATTTTCCTCAGCACACTGACAGCCCTTGTGGAACATCTGCATAACGATGGAATTTATTTTGTTCATTATGACTGCTGCAGAGCACTGGGCTTTATTTCACTCCTACAGACTAGTTCTGCTCCCATAAATTATCCAGCCTGCTCTCCGTATAAATGGCCGGCGGTCCTGGGAGAACTGGCAAGTCATCCCCGAATTGTCTCTGCTTCTTCATTTTGGTTATTTCTGTGTCGTAAAAGTTATGACATATCGGACAGAGGAAGGCTCAAGAAGGCCTCTAATAAATACTTTTCAACAAGCTTGAGACAAGTCTAATAACAGAGCCACTGAGCCTTCAAAGAAAGCTCTGAATGCTTCCCCAGGCCTAACCGCTCAAAGGTGGGTGCGCCTTTCTGGGGGAAATCAGCACCCATTTCTGCTCCAAGCACTTTGTTTTGTGTGTGGTGATGGAAACTTTATCTTGCTCCCTTGAAAAACTGTCCAGCTCTGTGGGAATCTTTGTGTTCCTGACAATGGATCTCCCCTTTGATTTTTTGAAAACATAACAGCTATAAATAGAAGCTGTCCGTAAATACAGAAAAAAACAAGAACCCCAAGTTTCTGGACAAAAGCGTGACCCAGGCAGGAGTCTTTCCTGGATCAAGGCCTCACATGGCATTTTCTTCCCCCTCTTGCTCTCATTTACCTTTTTTTCTTAGGATTTGGCACAAAACCCACAGGCCTCGTGGAGAGGCTATGTGTTAGTCAAGGCTCTTCAGAGTGACAGAACTAGAGAGAGGGAGAGAGATGGAGAGGGAAAGGGAGAGAGAGAGAGAGAGAGAGAAGCATTTATTGTAAGGAGATGGCTCATGAAGCTACAGAGGTGGCAAGCCCCAAGATCTGCAGGGTGACTTGGCACTCCAGGAGAGCTGATGATAGATAGAGTTCCAGTCCCAGGGCCAGCAGGCTCAAGACCCAGGGAGAGACAATGTTTTAATTGAAGTCTAAAGGCAAAAAAGAGCTGATGTCCCAGTTCCAAGACAGGTAATAATTTTCTCTAACTCAGGCTAGGGTTCACCTTTTGTTCTATTCAGACCTTCCACTGATTGGATGAGGCCCACCCACATGCGGGAGGGCAATCTGTTTTACCCCATCTACCAATTCAAAATGTAAGCTCAGCCCAAAACACTCTCCTAGAAACATCCAGAAACATGTTTGACCAAATACCTGGGCACTCTGTGGCCCAGTCAACCAAAATATAAAATTGACCACCCCTGGGAGGGGGGAGGGCAATATGAAATTAGGCCCTAGGGAGCATGCTCTGTGTCTTGTTTACCTGAGACCTTCTGGGAACAGAACCCATGGCAGGATAAAGTGGGGAGATGGTTGTCTCTCTCAAGAGATATTAGTGAGCAAGAAATCATGCTGCTCACCCCACACCTCCATGCCAGCTGGAAAGAGCAAAATTCTTCAATCATGAAAGACTCATTTTATTGTGGAACTTTTCAGACTACTGGATTATTTGTTCTTATGGTCTCAGGGTTCCAGGATGGAGTAGGGATGGACTGAGAGGGAAGGCAGAGAACAGGGGGGCTTGCTTCTTGGTCTGTGGGGATCAAGACCAGTTGGTCTTGGGGGATCAAGACGAAGACCCATTGTCTTCACGGTTGTTGTTCTACTGTGTGATGTTGCTGCTTCGTATCCATTGGGCAATACCGTGATACTGTAGAGACCTCCACTGAGGCATTCCGAAGCATGAAGCTTAAAGGGGGGCTCTCCTGGGTAGCCACCCAGCTGGAGCCATAGAAGGGCTTGCCGCCTCCCAGGGGTAGCCTCAGAGCCAAGCTCCAGTCTGCCATCAGTGACATGACTTGGCTCCTCTGCTGGCCCTCACCATTTTCTTCCTATCCCCTGAATATTCATCTTTAGGGTCAGTCCTGTCTGCTTATTCAACATGAAGACTAATTCTCTTAGCTGAGCCTTGACTTGCAAAGGAAAAGTCTGGTTGTCAATTATCTTTAAATGTAGCCTCTGAAACATGACAATCTATTGACTCCCTTTGGGGCAAGTGTGTCCGGAACTCAAGATCGCAAAGACTCACAGAGATTCCCGAAGACGCGGAAGTAAGGGCAGGGGTGGAGGGCAGAAACCAGGGCAAAAACATATTTTATATTCCTTTCTTACATTACAGAGGTGGAGATCAACAGCAATAATCATTATACAAATATTATGTTGTTATTATTACCATTTCTCAAGCTCATCGTGTTAAACCTTCCATATATCATATACGACACTCAATGCTTTTAGATGTTTTTTGTTGAAACCTCGTAACCTTATGAGGCAAATATCTCCCTCATATTATAGATCAGGCTAGGTGGAGAAGTTACATTTTTTATTCTCGGCACTGTGCTAGGTACTTTAGATATCTTTTCATAAGTATGTACAACCCTTTTACACATGTCAAGTTATATCCACTTTACAGATGAAAAAACTGAGGCAGCAGTCCTGTTCAGGAATGATGCAAAAAGTTTATAGCCATCAATTTGGTCAACACTAGTGGGAAGGGCTTCTAAATACTGGGACTTCGGGAAGTCAGCTTTAGGCTAAGTTGCCCTGGATAGTCCAGTCTCCTCTTGGGGATTCTTCTGGAAGTTTCTCTGAACCAATGTCCCTGGTATCTTCCAGTGTGAGCCCTCAAGCCTCTGGGGGTTGTTTGGAAGTCAAGAAGGAGAGTAAGAGGAGAGATTAACTTCCCTGTAAACTCACAGACCCCGTGATACACGTTGCAGGCAAATGAATGCTAAATGAGAAATTTTATTTTTCATTTTCACTTCTGTCTGCTGGACTGCGTTACTCTCCCTAAGGTGTAGCAATGATTTTATAAATAAAAAAGATTGCATAATTTCCTTTCATCATCACTGAATACTATTTATTGTCTATGCGGATGGGCTAGTTGCCGTGGAAAATCGTATCTACTGATTGACACGTTCATAACGTGTGCATGAGGCTTGGGCCTCTGCGTGCCTGGATGCAAAGCCGCAAGTTTTGAAATAATAAGTATTTAGGAATTCCTTTCCCAGTGCACCAAACCAGGTCATCTGTCCCTTGCCAACCCAAAAGGCAGAATAAACAGAGCATATTCCCTTCCCCTCCCCCACTTCAGGTCTAAGACTGAAACACTGGGCTATTTGTTTCCCCAAAACCACAGCGTGAAGTTTTCCAGCAATGGCAGGAAAAGGTTTCCCATTCCTCTACCCATCCCCTTCTCCAATTAATACCAAAGGTTTCAATTATACTGGAAACCTGAGCTCTGGTATGTTACGAGAATCCTGTTTCAGGAAAACACACCTCCCAAGCCCCCAGGTCCTATGGAGATTTTTCCATTCTGCAGAAGCCACTGGGGTAGGACCGTTATCTGAGAAGCTTCTCGGAGGTGGTTTGTTTTTCCCCCTTTCCCAGGAAGGAGCAGGATCCTGATATGATGGAGTCTGGGCTGCCTGGTGCTTAGGAACTTTGAGGAAATGGAGATGACCCTCTTGGTGCTTGAAACCATGAACCTCAGCGGAGTTGCTTCACCTGGATGCACCTGACACTCTTCACCTCCAACCAGTAAGTGTGCTGCCCTGGGGATGCATCTTTGCAAAATTAGACTTTTCTCTTTGTTTTTATTTTCTTATCTGTAATATACATTTCTTAAAGGAAAGATCAAATACTGGGGCGCCTGGGTGGCTCAGTCGGTTAAGCATCTGTTTTCAGCTCAGGTCATGATCCCGGGGTCCTGGCATTGAACCCCGCTGAGCAGGGAGCCTGCTTCTCCCTCTTCCTCTACCGCTCCCCCTGCTTGAGCTCCCTCTCTCTCTCTCTGTCAAATAAATAAATAAAATTTTTAAAAAATTTTTAAAAATTTTTTAAAAAGATCAAATACTTTATCCATTTTTAAAGAAGAGTAATCAGGAACTAAGCCTAAGAGATATGAACCAAAAGAAACCCCAAACTAGAAAGAACTACACTCCTTTGTGAAAAATATAGACTTAACTTGAGTCAACACCTGCAACAGGTTTGCTTAAATAATCAAAACTCAGCACTAGACAAACATAATTTCTTTTATTTTTCAAATAATTGATATCAACTTTGCTTCTCAAGACTCATCATTATTTACAGACCAGGGAAAAATTGGAAAATTTCCTAGTTAAAAATATAATAGTTTCTTCATAGGGACGTCAGACCCCTCCAGGAACTTTCCAGTCTCTTCTGGTTCAATCAATCACTTTTCTGGTGATTATTCAGTCAATTCAAAAATGAACTCGCCAGGGGCACCTGGGTGGCTCAGTTGGTTAAGCAACTGCCTTCGGCTCAGGTCGTGATCCTGGAGTCCCGGGATCGAGTCCCACATCGGGCTCCCTGCTTAGCGGGGAGTCTGCTTCTCCCTCTGACCTCTCCCTTCTCATGCTCTCTCTCATTCTCTCTCTCTCGAATAAATAAATAAAATCTTAAAAAAAAAAAAAATGAACTCGCCACTCCGCCTTCAAGATGGCCCCCAAGGGTCCTCAGCTCCTGGTATTCACACCCTTATGTAATCTCCTTCCACCTCACATCAGGGTTGTTCTCGTGACCAACAGAATATGGCAGAGGTCCTGGTGTGTGACTTCTGCGATTAAGCCACTTCAAACATTGGTGTTTCCTCCTTGGTGTTTGAGATCACTTTCTCTGGAGGAAGCCAGCTGCTGTGTCAGGAAGATACCTAAGCAGCCCAATAAACTGTGACTTCCTTTCAACGACCAGCAGGAACTTGCCAGACAAGTTGGAAGGGCTATCTTCGAAGTGAATTCTCCCAGATGACTGTCATTCTGGCCAATATCTTGACTGCAGCCACACCAGAGAGCCCAAGCCAGAGCCATCAGCTAAGCCACTCTCAAATTCTTGACTCACAGCAACAGTGCAAGACAACAAAAATTCATAGTTTTTTAACCCTCTACAGTTGGGAGTAATTTGCAGCAATAGATGCAGATAACCGTTGGGGCCCTCCTACCTCTCCCCTTGTCTGGCTGGAGACACATTCACTGAGTGAATGACAGTGTTGTCTGGTGGGTCTGGCCAGGTGTTGTATGACCACAGTGGTGAAAGAGAGGGCTCCTGGGTCTCTGTGGTAGCCTTAGGATCCTCCAAATTGGTTAGATGATCCAGGCAGGGATGGATCTGGTAGATCTGGTCTCTGCTGATGAAGACTCTGTAAGTGATTTCTGTGATCTGTTCTCTCAGCTCAGGCAGGGTTGGTGGTTCTCCATGACTGGTTCAGCCCACTTAGCTCCTGCTAGCCCTGCAGACCCCTCCTTGGAATCAGGTTGTCATTCCTAGTCAATCCCTGGCCTAGAAGTTCTGCAGCATTCGAGGTTACTGGTCACTTGGCCGTGGCAACGGCAACCTTCCTGGCAGATTTTCCATCAGCTCCTTTGTCTACCTGTCTTGCTCCTCACGGGGTAGGAGACACTTCTGGATCCTTCCATGACCCACGTGCACTGAAGGAGGCTCAGGAGGGCTCCTCAGACTTTCTGACAGTACTACACCATCTTTTTAGCTCTCGTTCAGCAGGTTCACATTACCACAGGCTCATGCTGAGCAACAGTGCCCTTGTGGAGTTCCAAAGAGGGAGCAGGGAGCTAGACCCTCTGCTTTGGGCCTCGCCATGGCTCTGGCTTGCTGGAAGGTCAGAACACATAGTCTTGATCATTTGTTCTAGTACCTCTTACTACACTCCACAAGGGGATAGGACAGGGTTTTATCAGGAACTTCTTTTCTGCCACACCTACCTGCTTCCCTAGGGCCGCAAACCTCCCAGTCTGGCAGTTGGCGGCAGGAGTAACTTCTCTGTATCGCAGAAGAAACCTGCGTGAACCTGCCAGGCTATGCTCTTCGTTTGGGGGCCGCAGTGTGGCAAGGAACAAGGCCGCTGAAGATGAGAATGTATGATTTAATATGCTCAAATTATGATCCTAATTGTCCACTAATTTTGATTACATTAAAATATAATCCATTTCCCCTCAATAAACAAACTCCATGCATGCACATACAACGCATGGAACCAGTACAAAATGGAAACATACCAACCTATTTCCTCTAACAAGTTCTCCCCAAACAATTAAATCTAGAGTATTAAAATCACCTCCAGGCTGAACCTGAACTTTGCTGTAATTCATGCAGCTCCAGACCCTGTGTCCCAAGTCAGACTGGTGTGGGGATGAGGAAAGTCATGATGCATGTGGACCTTAGATCCTGGGTTGCCAGGAAAGTGAGTAAAAGCTATGAAGGGAACATTATGGCCTCAACAAAAACCTCGTCCAGTATATATTTGGAGGTCTGTATGTGAAATGCTGTGCATGGTCAGATGTACCTAAATCAAATTTGTCCTGAAATAGTTTTTCTTTTTTCACACCTTCTGGGCTTCATTAGAACTGATTCAAGCAGAACAGAAGAAACAATCCATTCCCTGAGCATAATGCAATTCTCCGCCTCTGAGTAATCAAAACATGGTATCCTCTACCCAAGTCATAAATATTTTATATTTCTGTTCCTCCAAGCGTTTGAAGGATGTCATCAGGAGAGTGACATAGGGGCATCTTAACTCATGAAAGTTACCATTGACGTGGATGCTCAACATGAGCTGAACTGAGGGCCCACATTTCCTCAGGTTTCAGCAACACCTGTATGTGGATTAGGTCCCAGCAGAGGCAACACCGGGAGTCCCACGGGCACGTCATGACCGCCCAGATGATGTCCTCAAGAGCTCCAGCCTCCCCATCTATACCCACATGGCCCTAGAAGCCTCATGTGGACAGTCCTCCTACATTCCTTATCCAGAGTAATATCTCCCTGCATTCTTTCAGCTATAAACCTGTGTGCTGTGAATGTAATACAGTGTTCCTTTCGGTCCTGCTGCAGCAAAGATGTGCAGAACCCCCCTCCCTTGTTCTGTTTGCCATTTTGTCACTGGGGCTCTGAAGCAGAGTCCCTCAGGGAGACCTGCCTCTCCACCAGTCGCTCTCTCTTCAAGGGCCCCCCTGAGTCTGGTGTCAGACCCCATCTGCCCTTCCTGTGTTTTTTCTCTCTTTCCACAAATACCCATGCACAAATTCTCCTCTGCGTGAGAATCCTTTCCCTCAAGACAATCTAATACTCAAAAAAGATTCTCACAGCCCAGTGGCCCATCAGGCCATCCCACAAGGTGATTTTGATCTCATTCCAGGCTCACCTGGAAACCCTTGCTAAATTCGGAGACAGTAGTTTGGATATGCTTATGGGGCCTTTTAATTTGGCCATCCTCTGTCCCAGCAGCAAATCCCCCTGTGGGAAATTCTAATAGGTTCTAGATTCTTTTTTTTTCCAGCATACATTTTTCATGCCTGCAAATTTTAATGTGATTATTTGCAAATGACTGGTTGTATCTGATAAGATCAGTTAGAAGGAGCTGGTGGTAGGGAAGAGTGACACGGCTATGTGAAGAGCAGGGGCTTTTGCCTTCTGGTTGTATTAGTCATCTGGCAACCCAGGATCTAAGTATCCGTCATGACAGATAGCACAGACTGGGGGCCTTAAACAACAGACACTTATTGTCCCACTGTTCTGGAGGCTGAAAGTCCAAGGTCAAGGTGTCAGCAGGTTGTTTTTTTCTGAAGCCTCTCTCCTTGGCTAGTAGACGGCTATCTTCTCCCTGGGTCCTCACAAGGTCTTCCCTCTGTGTGCGTCTGTGTCCTAATTGCCTTCTCTTATAAGGACACCAGTTACATTGGATGGGGCAAGCCCATTTGAATTCATGCTGACTTAATTACTTCCTTAAAGGTCCTATCTTTAAATACTGTCACATTCTGGGGAACTGGAGGTTAGAACTTGAACATATGAATTTAGGGGAACACAATTGAGCCCATGACACTGGCCTTGGGGAAGTCAAAGGAGGGTGAGTACAGTGAAGCAGGGCCTTTATGTGAGACCCCGAGGTCTACTGGGCTGAAGGAATCTCTGTGGGTCAAGAGGCTGCCTGAGCTTGGTGGAGTGTCTGCCATCCTCCCCTATGACCAACTGCCAGGTTATTATGGGCAGAACTAAAGGTGTGTAACTCTATGTTCCAAGGAAGGGTTTGGAAACTCCCCTGTGGAATCTTGAGCTTTTATTAATTAAAGGTTTCCCAAAGGTTTATGTTCTTTAATCAAACAGATGACTTTCTTTGTGACCACAGTGAGCCCTGAGGGATGGGAACTGACTGGTGGACACTCGTAGTCTCAAGACTCAAGATCAGAAAGACACAAAGTGTTTGGAAAGATACAGAACATGCAAACCTCTTCATGATGACAGTATCACTAACACCATGGGATGTGAAAATTCTACAGGATTTGGAGTAAGCGAGAAACAGCAGATGGAAATTGTGACTGGACCATATTCTCATTGAAGGACTGATAAATGTGAGCCACAACCTATTGATGTATCGTTCCATCTGTATTGTTTTATGTTACTAAAAGAACTGTACAAAATTTAATAGGTTCCCTTGAGACCTTTGTGCCCAAACTCTAAACTCTCTTTTCTCTAAGACGACTTCAAAATGGCACATGCATGTGTGTGGCTGTGGCTGATGGAGGCCTGTATGGTAGAGTTTGATACCCAAGCCCAAGATACTGTTTTGGAAGAGAGGAAGTCGCAGGCTGAAGACATACGGTCTTGTTCCCGGTTTATGGCTCAGCCCTTAAGATACACATATTTCATTTTAATTTCAGGATCAATGTAAAAATGTCTTCCAAGCCCATTGAGTACTTAGGATAGACTACATCATTACTATTAGTAGCAGTGAAATATTCATAATGGTATGCACCTGTCATGGCCCCAGGGCATGCCGATCCAGTATTCACTCATTCATTCAATAAATTTTTATTAAGTACCTTCTGTATACCAGGCACTGTGTCCCCAGCCATGAACACAACAGACTGGCTCCTGCACCCAAGGATTTATAGAGTGTTAAGTGTCTGGGGTGACATCATAGGGAGCAACGGAGGGGAGGCAGCAGGGAGAACAGTAAGAAGGGGAATGGACAGGTGAGCAGAAGCTGAATCATGCTACACAAAGCCCCAGAATGATTTAACACATGGGAGTGAGAGGTTCCAATTCATATTTTTAAAAGATCATTTGAACTGCTGTGTGGACAAATGATTGTATGAGGCCGATGTCGAGCAGAGGAATGAGCTGGGAGGCTGCAGCGGTCCAGGTGAGAGATGACAAATTCTGGGAATAGGGTGGTGGAAGTGGTGGGTTAGGGCAGGGGAGGGGGCTGCTCACAGAGGAGAAGGGTGTGGTGGCAAAATGAGAATATTGCCCACAGGTGGGAAGGACTGCTTGGAAAAGAGAAAACTGCAATTCACAGAAACGGACTTACACTTAACGGGGAAAATTTAATTTAGGCTATGAAGGATCTCCTCATAGCAAGGACTACTTTGTTCTGAAAAGAGCTACAGTGGAAAAATGGGTGTATCTTTCATGAGGGCCCCAGGAAAGGGGCTAAAAATCAGCCATATGTTGAATGATGGAGGGTGACCCTGTGCAAAGGCAGGGAGCTGGACCAGGAAACTAGAAGTTGCTCCAGGCATGGATTCCGATGTGCCGTATTTCATGAGTGCCCTGGCCCAGCTCCTTCTTCTTCCCATCGTGTTGCCCGGATGGTGGCCATTTTTATTTAAATTAAAAATTGTGAAATTAAATTTAAAGTTCAGTTCTTCAGACACACTAGGCACAATTCAAGCCCTTCAATACAACCTGTGGCTAACGGCTACCTCATTGGTTAGCATAGCTGTGAATCATTCTGTCATGGGACCTTCTATTGGACTGCTATAGAAAGTTCTCACTCCCCTGGGTTAAATACCTCTTGGAATATTTCTAGGTCAGACCTGCTAATCTCAGTTCCATCTTGCCAGTTCTCCGTTGTTGACCCTTTTGTTTTGGATATTAGTATGGTCTAAATGTTTGTGTCCAGCCCCCAGGTCCCCCTGAATTCACAAGTTGAAATCCTAACTTGTAAATGAGGCATTTGGGAGGTAATTAGGTCATGAGGGTGGAGCCCTCCTGAATGAGATTTGTGCCCCCTTATCGAAGAGACCCCAGAGAGCTCCCTTGTCCCTTCTACTATATGAGGATACAGTGAAAGACAGCCATCTATGAACCAGGAAGTGGGATCTCAGCAGATACCAAATTTTCTGAGACCTTGATCTTGGACTTTTAGCCTCCAGAACTGTGAGAAATAAATCTCTGTTATTTATAAGTTACTCATTCCTTGGTATTTTTGTTACAGCAGGGTAAACAGACACAGGTGCCCTGCCTGCTCTTAGACTGCCCACCCCAGACCATCCTTAGTGCCTGGCTTGCCCTTCCCTGGGATGTGGACCCCAGGTCCTGTCTACCCCATGTCCCATGGCCACACATCAGAGCCCTATCCGTTCCCAGACCAAGAACCAGCTGTTGGACCACCCTGGGCTCGGCCTTGGGCCCCATTTGCTAAGTCAAGTAGGTTGCATATTCCAGGAGAGGCTGTGACCCAGGAATCAGATCACCTGGGCTAAGGGTGAGAGTCACATACTCATGCTCAGTCTCCAAGGAGACAGATTGGGTGTCTTAAAGGTAAGTGTTGATGTGTCCTTCAGAGGCAGCATCCCAGAGGGGAAAATGGACAGGGAGGAAATGTCATTCCCTGTGCAGCAAAGAAGTTAGGGCCTCAGAAGAGGAACAATAAATAGAAGAATAGGGGCAAGAATTTTGTGCTTTCCCCATATTTCAGAAAGCAGGTTTCATATATATTTGAACAACCGGCATGCTCGAGAATGGAGCAGACATTCACGTGCCTGCAGAACCAAAACACAGCTGGTAGGTCTAATTTTAGGTCCCTAAGCATTGACAGTGTAGCTAGACTCAGCTGAACTCACTGGCAGTCCTGTGTAAGCCGTGGGGCAGCACCTTTCGGAGCCTCGGCTCCCCAGGAGGGGACAAGAGTCTGTGCCTGCTCAGGTGTGACCTCTTTGGACCAGGGGATCGGGCAGCCCTTCTCACGGGCCTGCTTCCGGGCCTCAAATTGCCTTGGACACCTCTGAAAAACAATCTCGGAAAGAAAAATATCCTAATACCAGGCTTGTCTGGTGGGCCGAATGGGAACATTTGGGAAGATGATGTTTGCCTGGAATAATGGTTCCATGGAATATGATTCTCCATTTTGCCCAGACTGATCAGAGAAATAGAGGAGTCCTGGCTGACAGAAGCTTCTAGAACCATGTGGCTTGGGTTTGAACCTGTCGTGTCATCTATTAGTTATATGACCTCGGGTGAGTCATTGAACCTGTGTCTCAGTTTCCTCGTCTGTAAAATGGTGTTTCTCATAGTGTCTACATCATAGCACAAGCCTGAAGTGTTGTTGTAAAGGCAGTTGAGGTGATGTTGCACCTGGAGCACAGCAAACGTTTAGTAACTGTTAGCTATTTTCAGTAACTGGTTGCTCTGATTTGAGGCACTTAGCATTGGTAATACAACAAGACAGCAAAGGGTAGTGGTGAAATGTTATTTTCTGGAATCGAAGCCCCATTCTACCACTAACCAGCTCTGAGAGTTTGAGCAAGTCAGTTAAGCTCTCCATGTCTCAGGGTTTTCATTGATAAAATGAAGTTAATAATATGGGCATATTGATAGTATCTTTTCCAGATGATAGTTACAAGGATTAAAGGAGCTAATATATGTGAAACACTCAGAAGAATGCTTGGTATTACAGAGTAAGAACTTGGTAAAAGCTAGCTGCCGTTTATTATTATTATTATTATTATTATTATTATATGATTATTATTGTATAAAGGCAAAGAGTGCAGTAAAGTTCACTGAAGGTTGAAATGAGACTAAGCTTCATTTACTCTTGCTCGGAAGAATCAGAGGGAACTTTGAGATATTATAGGCACTAATTCAGTTAATCGGCAAATATCTGTAGAACACGTACAATGTGTCCAGAACTGGTCATTGTTGTCAACATCCGATAGCATTGTGCTAGGGAGCTCTTGGGTAATGAGAGTTGGGTGTTGCGGTCAAACAGAGGGGGGGGCAGTCGGTGGGGTCCTGTCTGACTTGTCAAGGCAAAGCATGCCCACTGCCACAAGTATCATGGCGTCTCTAACACATTGCCAGTCTCCAACCCAAGAAGAACAAAGAAGGAAGACCTTGTCTTAGACCCTTACACGTCCCTAGTGTGATTCCAAGTGAGGTCAAGGCCCAGACCAAGGAGCAGAAGCAAGTCAAAGCCTTGTGGTGTTTCTCAGGCCTCCCTCTCCCACACCCGTGCCTTTCCCTGGCACCCACCTCACCTTTGGTGGCCTGTGGTATGGCAGAGGTGATAAAAGAAAGACGGGAGATAGATCATGGTGACACCCTCCTGTGTCACCTCTAAGGGTCTCTGGACACCTTGTATCTGTGAACCCTCAGGAAGCCTCATTGGTGGGAGGTAACGCAGCGCTAAGACAGAGGAGGCTAGGAAGGGCCCTTTTCCCCTCAGAATTCACAGCTCTCCTGCTTTGCCCTGTGTCACCTTCAAGCCTGGCTAAGGCTGAGGAGTAGTATATAGCTTATGATTTGGCCTCCAGGTAGGCCTATGATACCCACTCTGTGAACGTGTGTGTGTATTCTCTGCCAGGTCCTTGACTGCATCTCTGGAAATAGGATCCTGGAGAACCCTCTCCTCTCTCTGCCTTTTTGTCACCCTTGTGAGGGAAGTCAGCCTCTCTCTCCAGCGAGGCCAGCCTCACTTTCCAGGGCCAGCGATGCCTCCACATTTCCCAGGGCTAAGAGCCTTGGCTCCAAAGAGCCAGGCTGAACAGCCAAAAAGCGCTTGCCAGGCATAAAGACCTGTTAGACTCCTAAGCCCATCCTCTGCAGGAGTTAGGGAAAACAAGGGAATGGATGGAGGATTTCTCCTTCCGACTCAGAGTGGAAAAGAAAGGCCACTTCTCAGGCTCGGGAGCATCCCAGAAATAGCCTCCCTCTCGCTCTTTTTCTCCTTTGGTTGCTTTCAGTTTAAGTCAATTAGACAGAAAATGAGATCCCAAAACCTACAGCTGAACACGCTTGGGGTTCTTATTTATCTATTTATTTATTTATTTGCCCTTTTTTTTTCCCCTTTTTTTTTTCCCCCTTTCTCCCTCCAGCACCTTGTTCTTGAAACTTGTCTGGTTCAACATTTCACTGGCTTGGTTAAGTATCTTGTAAGGAAATCATTTATAATAAAGCTGGTATGCTTGGGTTTATCATTTCTAAGTGTGGGTCAGGGTTTGGTTCGCTATGTTAAACTCTCCGTGCTGCATGTGATTTGTCAAGCTTTGTCAGGAACAAAAAGTTCCGGGATGTGCAAAGCAGGACTGCTTGGTTTCCATGGAGATAGTGCTAGTTAGGCTATGGAAATCCTGAAAAGGCCAGAGGATGAGTGACAATACAAGGATTTAGCGGCTGATCTGAAGAGCCAGACTGAATTAATGAGATTTTTCACAGAGCGTTATTAGCCAGGCTAGCACCGTATGGCTCTTAGGCCCTCGATTTCTCAGCTGCAGTCTTGGAAAACAGAAATGGAAAGATTTAATTGCTGTTTTTTAAACCCTTTAAGATTATTTTAACCTATAACAT